TCTTTCTCATCATTCTTCTTATAAACCCACATTCTGCAGTTTCCACATTTAAAAAACCTACACAAAATATCACTGACGCAGTGGTAAACATTAATGCTTGGTAGAAAACAGGCTAAACATAAGTTGGAAGATTATATCATAAAAAACAGGTTAAACATAAGTTGAAAGATTATTATCAAGCGAAAACTCTTATGGAGGGTAAAAGCCAGCAAGCTCAGTCAAAGGACAGCAGACCTGCCCGATTGCTTGAACGAGGCCATGAAAGGACGGTGAATTGCGGGGGCTACTAACCACTTTGTTGAATGGCAACCGAGGTTTGAATATTGTTTCCTGAAAAATTATGTCCACCTGTTACCTTCATCTTTGGGTTCTCGGTTTGTAGCAGTCTTTATCTTCTCGCTGGAGAGATTAGATGCGCTTAAATAAGTTGAATCATTACATCTTCTGGTAGTTCCGCAGATGTTTGGTTTTGACAGTGGCATCAGTGGCAGTTGGACATTTCCCTGTTTTCGTTCTTAGAACTTGTCGGTTCTGTTCTGTATTAATTAAGTTATGGCTGTGTGCTTTCTGGGAGACTGGAAGGCTTCTCAGTTTATACTGGAACTGTGCGCTCACTGTTGAAGACAGGATTGTATCGTTTTATGAGCATACCCCGGACATTATGGTAACGGTTCTTAACTCTTACCTGGTGATCATCTTTTGCTTAGAACTTCTCCGGGAGGACGAAAATTGTGTGCCCTTAGCTGTTCCCACGCTAATGGCTATCGAGCTGTCATGTGTGACTGTATGGTGTCTGTGGAACTGTATAGTGGTTGTTTGTTAACTGGCAGATTTAGAGCCATGCCATGGAGGCGGCTTGCCTGGTTGTCTTGCATATTGTCATGTCATTCCTATTATCGGCAGTTTTAACGCTATCGCCAGTGTCATTGTTTTCGTAAACTTCTGCAAATCTGGCGTATGGTAACGTGTCCCTTCTTCTCATCCAATTTAGGCGGTATCGTCGCGGACCTGTCAAGTTATTCAGTAATACGTGGGGGATTCAAATGAAAACCGTAAAAGTTTGATAGAAGCTACGACAATCTTGCACTCCCTTTTAACCTGTCACTATTGTTTTTAGGACATCAAGAGTGTTAAGCGCGTGACATCATGGAGGAGACCAACACGGTGAACGTCATAATGACAATTTAAATATGGCTGCCCCCCCCCCCCCCCCCCTTAGACATGCGCCAGTGAGGGCAGTGTTCTATAACCCCCCCCCCCTTTTTCCGTTAAATCAGTTTAGGGGTCTAAACCTATATGAATGTATCGGCGAATGAAGATGATATAATATTGCCCATCAGTCCGGAAAGTGTATGTGTGGAGTAGGACGTTTCAGAATGGCTTGACTGCTGAAAAACAGACTGTTGACGACCAGGTCAGACACCTCCAGCAGTGTGACCCTAGAGTCGATTGCTGCTGTTGAAGGTCTCGTACAGGAGAACCGCTGACTGGCTGTCTGTGACAATGGCCATCTTGGACCTTCATTCGTGGGCCGTTGAATATCTTAGTCTGTCAGATAATACACCCAGATGTCGGACTGGTACTTTCCAGAACTAACCAATGGCAAGAGACGTTACCTATTGATAGTCAGTCAGAATGATGCCAGTTTATGACAGCCATACTGTGTACATGAAGCTCTTCTCTGTGATGTTGTTCAGCCTGGAAGCTACTTTGCCTGCAGGCCTAATCCTAAATCCCTCGCCTATTGATCAGTCTCAGCTGTCGGCTCCTGCAAGTCTGCAACCCAAAGGTTATTTATGGAAGTCTTTTTATGTGGCATTTCTGTTATCCGATCTTGACCTGCCTTCTTTCATTCTTCTAATACAATTTGGAAGCATGTCCAATCATTTTTGGGGTTGTGCGTTTGTATCATAAATTAATCAGCTTGTCTAGTACTCGTTTATGATTCTGAGTGGGTGGAAAGTGTTTATAGCCGAGATAATCGGCTTTATTTCCTCAGGTTTTATCCCAAATGGCTCCAGCCTCTATCCTCAGAGTTGGGCTGCTGGTCGCCGAGTGGTGCAGAAATATTCACACACCATTACGCGCTAGCGGTGATCTGCGTGTCTCCCAGAACACCTGCAGTTGTGGATTGAATGAAATGGGTTCAAATCCCGATCAGTGATATTCAAACCTCTTTACCACTTCACAGCTGAGACTCCCTATTTTGAATTGGGTGGGGAAGGGGGGGGGGGAGTATGGGTAAGACTACCTTATTATAGGTTCAGCATGCTCTCTAATAAAAGTTTCACCATGTGGGTTCCGGAAGCCGTATCTTGTGGAGGGGTGGGGTGGGATGGGGGGGGGCGTAGTAGTGCACACAATCTTGAGTTCTGAAGTATGACCAAACCCTAGAAGTGGATGAACAGCTACAACTGAAATCAGTGGTCTCGGAGTAGACACCTGTGCTAGAGATTTATCGATAAAAAACATGTTTAATGTAAGAAATGTTGGACCGCTTCTACTGTATCACAGAAATATGGTGCTGTGACAAAGACCAAGAGCCACAACTTCATATTGGTCCCGTTCAGTATGTGGGATTAGCCATGTGGTTGCAGTGCCTGTACTGCAGTTACTCATGATTAACACCTGCCATTCGTATATAAAAGTGTTGCATTGGCTGGAGCCATCCATAGCATTTACTCAGATAATTTAGTGTTTGTCGAGACTATACAGGAGAACATGATAATTGATTGGATGATCCTGGAACCAAATGTTACTACTGCCTTGCCTTGAAGTTTCAACAGAATTCATGTAGATACTCTAGATAAGATTGTTAAGACACTTCTTGATAGGTCCACTATACTGGGTCTCAGGAATGCCCTAGCCTAACTCAGAAAACAAATGCTACAGACAAGTTAAATGCCTCAGCTGAAAGGTACAAAACTACTTGAAATCACACGCACCGCCCCCCCCCCCCCCCCCGAGATAACCTTTCAGTAGTGGGGGAGGGGGGGGGGAATAACTGAACCAAACAATTCCTTCCAATAGAAGGAAAAGACACATACCTAATAAATCTGGTGTCTAGTTGGAAATTAAAGTGTGCTTGTCCTCTGATCATATTAATCTTACTGGTGGCAATTTGATAATTAGAACTGAGCCATGTGTTTCCTGAGTCACATGTTTAGCAGATTATGTTGTTTGAGAGAATACCTTTGGTTGATTTCACACTGCCTAGTCTGTAATTGTATTATTTTGGCAGTGGATAGGTACCACTATCAGGAATAACTACACAGTTGTTTGTTTGTCGCATAAATATTAGGTTGTTACAAACATTATCTCAAAGGTAAAGGAATTATGTAGAAAATGTTGCATAATTATTGCTGACTGTTGTCCTTGATGTTCTTGTCTTCAATAGAATAGCAGGCTTTTCATGTTTGAAACTGTTTTGTTTCATGTAAGTCACACTGATGATTTGATTTCGGTGGTTGTGCTCTTAAAAGCAAGCAGATATTTTAATTTTATGTTCAGAGAAAACTAAAATACATGCACATGCTGGATATCAGACTGTCCAAAAATTCCACATGTGACATAAAATGTCAATTATTAAATAGAATAATAATAATGAAATAACAAATTCACTCTTTTAATATCAAAGAAACATATTGTCAGATAGCAAATATATAAAATATTTACATAAATTGAGATACAAGAGCACAAACGCCATTAGTATTTGTGTATGAGACAAAATTAGCTCAAAATGGCAGCTTCCACAAGTGGAGTCCGCATGTCTTTTCTAAAGTCCAGCACATATTAGGAATTCAGAGAAATTAGCAACAACAGATAAATTAAAATAAACATTTATTTACTCATCCCTGGTAGGGATCTAACACACACTGACTACAGATCTAAGCACCATCTGAGACATACTGAGTCGAGTTGGCTGATAGAATTATGCATCTTGCCACCACACATTATGTGATCAAAAGAGTAGCAGAAAGTAGCTAAAAGGGGGAAGTAACTCTAATTTGGTAATCCAAATTTTCATTAACCCCATTTCACTTTTTTTAAATTAAGAAATTTAAAATATTGCTGTTATTAAGCAATAATTAATAGGTAAGAAACAGTAGTCCAGACAAGCTCGTCACATTCATTAACATGAATCGCTTAAGAAGAACACTCACAGTTATCATAAACAAAATGTTCATTCAAGCACGGATGTATTAGTAATTATTAGTCCCTGGTTACCATAGATTATTTTAACATAAACTCGATTTTTGGTCCCTTGGATCTCATTTTAACAAAGCTTCACTGTAATAGCTATGCATACCCCAGAAAACTAGTTTAAAAGAAAGTTCCTTATCTTTTTCTATTGGATTGACACTATGAATGATACTAAAATATAAAATGTGATATTGGAATATTGAAAAGAAAAAAGTGATAAATGAGGTAGTCACTTTTCAACAGTTTCATAATTTCTTTACTGTGTAAAACATTGTGCATAGCAAGGGAAAAACACTTGACTAATTTCTTCAGAGTAATTTTTTACCTAGTCGCAAAGCTAAGACTATGGTCCGATGGCATGTTAAACATATTTCTGATCAGTCTTTGAAATAAATAACTTGACATGAAATGAAGTTCTTATCCTGAGATTACTGTTTAATAGTACCACACACAAAAACCTATGGCGAGAGAAATTACAGAATGAGGTGAACAAAGGTGTGGATGACATGTGCTAAGCTGCACATCATAGCAAATAGCAAAGTGTAGAACAACTTGGGCACAGATTGATTAAGGTCTGCTACTCCTTTGGACAGTCAAGGGCAGAAGAAGAAGAAGAATAGTATAGCAACAACAAAATGTAGTTGAATCTAAATACATGCAAATTGATGCTGCCAGTTGATGAAATTGCAACACCCCCCAAGTAAATTCCAGTCTACCTTGTCTTAGTCATCTTTTATCATGTCAGATAATAGATTGTGTGTAGCTTGCAGTAAACATCTGTTCTCTGTTTATTTCAGAAATTGTGGATGGCAACGTGAAGATGACTCTGGGTATGATCTGGACAATTATTCTCCGATTTGCCATCCAGGACATCACAGTTGAAGGTAACAACATTGTTAAGTAATCTTTCTTTGACAGTGTCACAGAGTAATGAATATTCTACTTAATCCCTTCACAGTGAAAGCCATGAGTGTTACAAGGCAGGGTAGGGTCACACAGCCAGAAACCAATGAAATTTGGTCAGCATTTGATTGAGGGGACACCCCCTCTCCCATTTGGGTTACAGGGCCTGATTTTGGGGAAGTGGGGATGGACCTACTGCTCCCCCACCCCGATAGGCATTTCATAAAAGCCAACTAAGTAGGGGCGTTACTTTGAAGTCAGAGTGCATCAGCCTAAGAGGCAAGGAACCAACAGTCTGCATACAAATAGGCCAGATCTGTAAAATTGATGTGCATACAAAAATAAAGTTGTGGAATAAAAGTCCAGAAGTGGGCAAACAAGCAGAACTTTCGTGTGTAGTTTACAGCCAGTGAACAGGAAGAAGAAGAAGAAGAAGCTTGGGGAAACAGGTCTCTGTCTCCTGTTATTTATCAGTATGTAATCAGTCAGCAGGTTAGCAGTGAGTATGTAGCCAGTCAGTATGCATTCATTCAGAATGCAGCCAGACACTATGTAGCCAGTCAGTATGCATTCATTCAGCATACAGCCACTGTATAGCCAGTCAGTATGCATTCATTCAGCATGCAGTCACTGTGTAGCCAGTCAGCCACTATATAGCCAGTCAGCCACTATGTAGCCAGTCAGCCACTATGTAGCCAGTCAGCCACTGTGTAGCCAGTCAGCCACTATGTAGCCAGTCAGCCACTATGTAGCCAGTCAGCCACTATGTAGCCAGTCAGCCACTGTGTAGCCAGTCAGCCACTGTGTAGCCAGTCAGCCACTGTGTAGCCAGTCAGCCACTGTGTAGCCAGTCAGCCACTATGTAGCCAGTCAGCCACTGTGTAGCCATTCAGCCACTGTATAGCCAGTCAGTATGCATTCATTCAGCATGCAGTCACTATGTAGCCAGTCAGCCACTATGTAGCCAGCCAGTATGCATTCATTCAGCATGCAGTCACTGTGTAGCCAGTCAGTATGCATTCATTCAGCATGCAGTCACTATGTAGCCAGTCAGTATGCTTTCATTCAGCATGCAGTCACTATGTAGCCAGTCAGTATGCATTCATTCAGCATGCAGTCACTGTGTAGCCAGTCAGTATGCATTCATTCAGCATGCAGTCACTATGTAGCCAGTCAGTATGCATTCATTCAGCATGCAGTCACTATGTAGCCAGTCAGCATGCATTCATTCAGCATGCAATCACTGTGTAGCCAGTCAGTATGCATTCATTCAGCATGCAGTCACTATGTAGCCAGTCAGTATGCATTCATTCAGCATGCTCTCACCATGTAGCCAGTCAGCATGCAATCAGTCAGTATGTAGCCAGTCAATCACTATGTAGCCAGTCAGCATGCTATCAGTCAGTATTTAGCCAGTCAATATGTGTCCAGTCAGCCACCATGTAGCCAGTCAGCATGCTATCAGTCAGTATTTAGCCAGTCAATATGTGTCCAGTCAGCCACCATGTAGCCAGTCAGCATGCTATCAGTCAGTATTTAGCCAGTCAATATGTGTCCAGTCAGCCACTATGTAGCCAGTCAGCATGCTATCAGTCAGTATTTAGCCAGTCAATATGTGTCCAGTCAGCCACCATGTAGCCAGTCAGCATGCTATCAGTCAGTATTTAGCCAGTCAATATGTGTCCAGTCAGCCACCATGTAGCCAGTCAGCATGCTATCAGTCAGTATTTAGCCAGTCAATATGTGTCCAGTCAGCCACCATGTAGCCAGTCAGCATGCTATCAGTCAGTATTTAGCCAGTCAATATGTGTCCAGTCAGCCACCATGTAGCCAGTCAGCATGCTATCAGTCAGTATTTAGCCAGTCAATATGTGTCCAGTCAGCCACCATGTAGCCAGTCAGCATGCTATCAGTCAGTATTTAGCCAGTCAATATGTGTCCAGTCAGCCACCATGTAGCCAGTCAGCATGCTATCAGTCAGTATTTAGCCAGTCAATATGTGTCCAGTCAGCCACCATGTAGCCAGTCAGCATGCATTCATTCAGCATGCAATCAGTCATTATATTGCCACAGCTTAAATGAGTCTGTTAAGCACATTGTTTTCTTGTCTCTTATAAAATAATTGTATCATTGTCTTGCACAGAGCTGACCGCAAAGGAAGGTTTGCTGTTGTGGTGTCAAAGGAAGACGGCCCCTTACAAAAATGTGAATGTACAGAATTTCCACCTCAGGTATTTCTTTTGTCTCCATTCTCATAATCTACAAATCCTCTTCATTACAATGTGGCTGTTAATTATAAATTTGGACAACAAAATAGTTACAGCCTGATCTGAAAACAAGTACACAAATCAGGTTCACTTCTGGAAGCTGACATTTGTTTCAGATGAAGTTACTTTAGCCAGATAAAATGTTCACATTTAAAACATCAACGAACATACTAAAAATATCTTGAGCAATTTTGATTCTGATAGGGACACATTTAGATCTTTTTCTGCTGCTCTTTTAATGGGCAGAGACTGATAATTTATGGGGATATCTGTGTGCATTGACGTGTTTAAACTAAGTCAGTGAATAAAGTCTGCCTGTAACAGAAAGGGTAAAGATAGTCCTATAGCAGACTGCGCGGGGGAGGGAGGAGGGTGTCTTTGTGTATTCAAAGCTATGACATATGGGGTAGGGTGGCCAGAAATAACAACCTGTAGAAAATAATATATATATGTACACTCTTACTTAAAATATACTGCACTGCACTCTAGACAAACAAATGGGTGCTCAGTCATCTCTGACATATAGCACAATATAAAGTTTATTGCTTATTGCTACAGCTCTAGGGTGGCAGAGCAGATCTTTCCCTTATAGACTTAGACATTTCTAAACTGTTTATGTAGAGCATGTGTCAGAATTTGTTGTATACAGACATGGTTGTTGGAAGTTGAGTGGTGGGGATATGCACCCTGACATGCCAGATAGGCATGTGGGGTAAATACCTGAAGACTTGCAGCTGGTGTGATGTCCCCTGTTTGTTGTCAGTTATATTACATGTCTGCCAGATAAACAGGTGCAGAGGAAAGGAAAGTAGATGCATAAGTAACTTTTGACTGCTAAGAGTTGAAATAATGAGTTTAGGAGCAAGACAGTATGTGTTTTCCGCCATCTGTAAACTTTGGTATTGTGTGGGGAGAAACACAGATTAAGAGCAAGCTATGTTGCCCACATTTCAGCTTATGAAATGCAGTTGTACTGATACAAATAATGGATATCACAGATAAAAAGAAAACAATGCTGTCTTTGACAGATTAGAACAGAAGATTATTGAATAAGGCAAGATTAGGACTGAAATCAGGCATACAGCTTTCAAGAGCAACAGATGAATTGGTTTGGCTATCTGGTGAAAATACCCTACCACAGAGAACTACACTGGAGAAATAGAATGAACTCAGACCACGCAAAAGATTGAATTACAGCATTAAACATTTTTTTTTTTTTAGAAATAAAGACCAGCTTATAAAATGCATTAAAAAAAAGCACACGGATACACAAAAGATCCTTATACATTCTCTCCATACCTCCCACCACCACCTTACTGAAGATCACGATCATAGAGTTAAAATGTTTCAGACAAAAGGAGCCATCTCTTGATCGAGAGTGATTTTAGAGATGAGTGAATAACAAGTGAGCAAGGTACAGAGAATGTTATATGTAGGTGGGCAACATTCAGGGATCAACCAGAAGCATATATGAGAGCACTGAAGACACGGTGTAGAAAGTAGTAGAGATTTTGTACATCTGACCTTCACTGAGGAGATGGCACTTGATCATGGTCTCTCAAGGGCTTATTCTCCACTGAACTCAAGGTTAGGGGACTAGCAGTAACGGAAATGATGTGGAAAACCTGCTTGGTAAGGAAGCCATGTTGAGAGAAGGATAAGTGTAATACCTGTGCCAGGAGAATGGCCATTATATATCTCCAGCAGTAATAGCTGCACCCAGCCTAGCCTAGCCAACTGCCTCCCTTGTTAAGGTAAACAGTGATCATATGTTTACAATCACTGCACCATGTAATCAGTGTTACCTCCACAAACTATTTGATGGACTGTAAACATCAGCAGGAAATTTACCATTTGCCCCTTGCAGCCCACCAGCATTCTTCCCCCCCCCCTCCCCCCCCCCCCCATTGTGTCTCTATTCTCCACCCCCTTCCCCTTTCTGCTTTCTTGCTGGATTGCCTGATATTTTTCTTCTCATTCTCCCCCTCTCTCTCCTGCTGTCTCTGCCACCCTTCTCTTTCTCTCCTACCTCCCTCTTGTACTTGTCTTCTCCCCTGTCTCCCTCTCCTCTCTTCTCCATCTCCTTCTTTCGTACTATATATTCTCCTATATCCTCTGCTACTGTCTTTCATCCCTTCTCTCTCTCCCCCAGTCTCTCCTCTCACTGTGTACACATCACCTGTGTTGGATTGTCTGAGATTGAATGATCTCACACCTTTTTCACAAATGCTTCAAAATGGTTATTATTCTTTGGCCCCTGTATAACAAATATTCTGCAAACAATTATTCAGTTTGTTGTCAAACCAAGATATATTGTAATGTAACAGATGTCAACTGGGAATGTTATTTCTTTAGAAGTTTGAATTTCAGTTGTCTTTTATCTCCATCACCCTCTTGGTTCTACACTTTCTCATCTGCTGTTTGTCCATCTCCTGATGTTGTCCTCCCACTTGTTTTGTTGTTTCCTCTTGCTATCTTGTCTTCGATCTTTCCCCCCAGTATGGTGTTATGTCTTTTAATGTGACTAAAATATTCCAGTTGTCACTTTTTAAAAATTTCAGCAATTATGTTTTTATTTGTAGTCTTTCCAGAGTCTCTGTTTTTTTTATTGATTTTGTTTCCATGAAATACAGCCTATTCTTCTGTATATCCACATTTCTAGATACTCAGTTCAGTTTTCTAGTTTCTTGTTCACGTTTAAAGTTTATGCACCATACAGCAGGGTCAAGTATACATAACATTTTACAATTCTCATATGCATTGATTGTCTCTGTAATTCAGTAATTTTAGCATCTTATTGAAGATGTTTTACCCACTCCTATTCTCTTTCCCCCCACCCCACCTTTTTCTTTTTCTTTTACCATTATCTGTTTTTTACGTGTCCAGGATAGGAGAACCTGTTACTCTACTTATATCTCTCTGTTTACTATGATGTTCACTGTTCTTCATTCTTTTCCATTGTTAAGTCAGAATGTTGTAAGTGATTGTTAACTTAATAATTGTGAAGATCTGTGACAATAGATGCAGTAGTGCAAGCAATGATTGGCAGAAAAACTGTGGAAAGACATGGTCATCTTTGACTGTTGGCCTAACTCTGGAACACAATAAGATCTCAGTTTCAGCACTATAAGGTGTGGCATTGCTCTCACCAGCTCTTACAGAAGGCTGTTGGAGATTGAGTTTTTTTGAAATACTGTCAGCAGTTCCCATTGCTTGAATACACCAGACACTGGTGACACAGTGAATATCTAACTGTCATATGATTAATCTTTGTATATGTTACCCCGACATACACAAATTTCAGCTGGAAGGATGGTTTAGCTTTCTGTGCTCTCATCCATCGTCACCGCCCCGAACTCCTAGACTACTACAAGCTGTCCAGGGTAAACCTCTGCCTGAACTCACGTGTGCTCTTAGTTCTCAGTTACAGCACAACAGCTTTTACCATTTATTTATTTTTTTCATTTTTATTTGATTATAATGCATGATAAGCAACAACGATTTGGCTGCTGTAGACTTTTGATTCCTTTTTTTCTGCTTGTTGTAGCTGTAACATTTTGATAAAGTTTGCCCATTGTAACTTAGTTTTTTCTGTTTAAAACCATCATTACTAGTTTACCCTAACCCTTGATACCTGAAGTTCATACCCTAATAACCATAGATCTCCTTGGATTCCATACAACTTCCACGAGCCTTGTTTTAGCATCTCCTTGAAAAAGAATAAAGACAGCAAGAGATGAGAAGAAAAGCAGTAAAAATTCTTTTTTTATTATGAATGAAAACAGTGTGATAGTAATTTCAACATAATTGATTTCCTGATTTTCCTGTTTGACGTCCAAAAATGGATCAACGGCTTCATTGGATACCCAAATATATCACTGCACAAACACAATTTAAAAAGCCAACCTAGCTCTGTATACAAACTATTTGTGATTTGCAGTTGATAAAGGCACTTAAGTCTGCAGCCAAAACTCAGCACAGCTTTTCAGGACTTTACTTTTTGCATGGGTCCAGAAATTGAGAAATTTCTTCAGTAGAAAATAGATGCCTTGCACATTTTTGTAGGCTTTTGCTTTTTGTTTTGTTTTTTAGTGTTGAGGATTTGATGTGAGCTGAAAGTGTTGCTTTTAATGTGCTGAAAGATGTGTGTGTCTTCCAGTTTAGCCATGCCACTTCTTGAGTTAAGAATCAACATCACAGCACTCAGGATGTTGCCTTAAGTGTTCCATTCTCAACATCAGCAGCCACCGCAGAGACCATTTCTGAAGGAGTTCCTCAGAGTCCCTTGCCACTTGTTATACAGAGTGAAGTTTTGAAGGCTTCAGGACAATGTCAACAAACGTAGCCTAATTCAGTGCTAGATCCCTCGGAAGTCTGTAATTGAAGTGGCTGGTAGCTAGTTGACCTGATGTTTGTGTGTGTAAGAAACAGAGAGCAATCAATTGGTAATTTCAACCACACTTTATCTTCTGACAGTAGCAAAATCCTTATCTATCCACATCACAGTTTATTTTATTTTTATTTTTGCCGCCCTCCTTTCCCTGATGTGATTTTAAAAATTTCTGATTTAACATTTTCGAGCTTTTGCCATTCTAATGATTCAGTATGTTTTATTCCAGAATCATTGGGAACTCTCTATCTTTGACTGAGTTCATCCCATAAATGTAGAGTATATTTACTTTGATTATGTGCTTTGATGGTTGCAGTCGTTTTTACATCTTACGATTAAGTGGTCCAACATATTAAAACTATAAAGAAGTACACAGGGAAGCACTTTATTAAAATAAAGTAACACTGTTTTCATGTTTTTAAAAAAATGCTTTATAACCAGACCCATGATCAGATATGAGGAGTGGATATGGTCAGTTTGATACTTTCTCTCAGAATAATTCTTGGTGCCCACTTGTGCGGACACAGAATTGTACTGAATAGGGAGATATCTTAGCATTATTCCCTTTATTTTATATGCGCGTGCGTGTGTGTGTGTGTGTGTCAACCTGGCTGTAGAGAGGACTGAGTCGTATGACCAGAAGTTGTGTAGATAAATCCAGTTTACGGTTGTACTGGTGACCAGACTAACCGTTCTGTCCTGTCCAATATCAAAGGTGTTACATCTTCTGCTGCTGCTGTGTTTACCCTTGGGTGGTTGGCGTGTTATGCAGTTAGTTTACAGCTAGGCTGTGATATCTGTGTTCATCCGAACACATCAGGGGGCAGTGGTTTTGTTCCCTCCACCACCACCACCACCATTGGGGCTCCAGAAACGATATGGACAAAAATAGGCAGTATATAATCAACATGCTTTAACTGTATCTTGTGTGCATTTCTCACTTGTTGTTATAAGCCTGCTTCAGAAAACATATGTAAGGTGAGAATCATCAGCTACTGGTAACAGTGGTCTAGGGAGAAGTAGAAACATCTGTCATTTGCTGGTCTGCATTATGATGGTGTGCAGTCAGAGAAGCTGTGTAACGCTGATGGGATTGTTGTTGTTGTTGTTGAATGAGTAATAGACATGCTTTAATTGGATAGAAAGCTGCATGTGTTAGTATTTTGCAATCTTTTTATTTATTTATTTTTCACATTTTTTGGGGCAGATCTCATGTGTATTGCCATGCTATGTTTTATCTGTGGTTTTTCTTTCAGTAGATATGCACTGTTACATTTATTTTGCTTCCCCTCTTGCATGGTGTGTGCTTTTATTTTCTTCTGCAGTTTTAAAGATGGTCTTGCATTCTGTGCACTCATACACAGACACCGGCCAGACCTGCTTGAGTACCATAACCTTTCAAAGGTAAAACATGATTAGACAATTAACATCAGGCACAAGACTCAATCACCTGCAGTATCTACAGCAGTGTTTGATCTTACCCTTAGTTCCCAGCCAGAGTCATTGATTCTTCACATCTTGTCTTTCTTTCTTCTGCCTTTCTATCTCCCAATGGAGCATAGGCCCTCAACCAACTCACACCAAGTCGTTCTATCCTTCGCCATTGCATGGAGCTCTCCCCATGTCCTCCCAATCTTTCTAACCTCGTTCTCCAGCTCTCTTCTCCATGTGTTTTTTGACCTTCCTTCATTCCTATGCCCCTGTGGGTTCCAATGCAAAGACATTCTAGTAATGCTGTTCTCCTGTTTTCTCAGTGTGTGCCCTTTCCAACGCCAGCGTCTTTTCCTCACTTCCTGATCCACTGGAGCCTGTTTAGTTCTCTCCCAAAGTTCTACATTAGTTATTCTATCATACCATTTTATTCCCTCTATTCTGCGCAGGCACCAGTTAATGAATGTCTGTAATTTATTAGTAATTGCCTTGGTTGTTCTCCATGTTTCAGCCCCATAAAATAGTACTGATTTGACATTAGAATTAAAAATTTTTAGTTTAGTATTTCTTTTAATTTCTTTTGACCTCCACAAATTCCCTAGTGCTATGAAAGCCCCTCTTGCCTTTTGTATTCTTATTTTAATATCTCTATCAGTTCCTCCATCTTTATCTACATTACTGCCTAAATAGGTGTACGACTCCACGTCTTGGAGTGGGGTGCCATTAAGAGAAACCACATTACTATTTGCCTGATTTATTCTCATTATCTTTGTCTTTCCTTTATGGATTTTCAGACCAAGCTGCTGTGATCTCGCATTAAGTATATTTAATTTATCTTGCATCTGATTCCGTGAATGGGACAGAAGAGCAATATCATCAGCGAAGTCCAGATCATCAAGCTGTTTTGTAGGGCTCCACTGAATTTCATTCTTGGTGTTAGCAGTTACTGTTTTCATAGTCCAGTCTATAGCCAGTAAAAATAAGAGAGGCGACAAAAGACATCCCTGTCGCACACCTGTTTTAATTTCAACTGCATCTGTTAGCTTTCCCTCATGAAGAACTCGACATTTCATGTCTTTATATGTTGCCTTTACTAAGTTGATAATTTTCTGTGGGATTCCATAGTGCCCCATCAATTTCCAGAGAGATTCCCTATCTATGCTGTCAAATGCTTTTTCATAGTCTATAAATCCAATGTAAAGTGGTGAGTTCAGTTCAATGCTTTGCTCTTTTATTATACGTAATGTGGCTATATGGTCAGTACAGGATCTGTTTGCCCGAAAACCTGCCTGCTCATCTCTTAGTTTTTTATCAATAGCATCTTTTAATCTTTCCAAAATAATTCTACTTAATATTTTTCCAGGAACTGACAGCAACATAATTCCTCTATAGTTTTCACACTCCTGTAGATCACCTTTTTTTGGGCAGTTTCACAAGATATCCTTCTCTCCAGTCTGCTGGTATTTCTTCGGTCTCCCAGACTTTACTGAATAATCTATGTAGCAATTCTGTTGATGTGTTTATGTTGGTCCTGATGGCTTCAGCTGGGATACCGTCTGGGCCTGTCGCCTTTCCTTCCTTGAGAAGATTTATAGCTTTTCTAATTTCCTCTTTGGATGGTATCTCACAGTTGATATCCAGTTCCATTTCTAAAGACTGGATATCTGGGGGAACCACTGGGCCTGGTCTATTTAGAAGCATTTCAAAATATTCAACCCATCTGTCCATTTGATCTTTAGTGTTAGTAAATACCTTTCCTTGACTATTTTTGATTGATCCAGTTGGCTGACTATATTTACCTACTAATTTTCTTGTGTAAAGTTCTCTGAGGTTTCCTTTTGCTGCTGCTAGATCATTTAGATATTTCACTTTATCTGCCCTTATATGCCTCCTAACTTCCTTGTTGGCTTCTGTGTAATTCTCCTGAGCTCTAGCTTTAGCAGCTCTAGTTTTGCTATTGTTTAATTCTGCCTTTTTTACTTTTCCTATCTTCAATCAGTTTAATGGTTTCTGGTGTTATCCATGCTTTATGTTTCCTTTCTTTCTTGCCAAGAACTTCTATGCAAGATTCATTCCAGATTCCTTTGATCTGATCCCAGCAGACTTCTGTGTTGACATCTTCAGCTAACTGCTGCAACACCTGGTACTTATTAGAGACCGTAACTGAGAACTGTTCCTTAATTCCTTTATCTCTGCGAAAGCCTACATTATATTGGTTTCTATGGTTATAAGATGTTATATATCTTTTTAGTTTCAACTTGATTTTACTTACCACCAGGAAATGGTCAGTAAATACATCGGCACCTCTGAAAGCCCTAACATCGTAAAGGGATGATCAAAACTTTTTGTTAATACATATTTCACATCTTGTACCCCCATGTTTATGATTTACTCTGCTTTGTTCTCCAAACTCAGTCGTGATGAACAGAAGCATCAGAAGAGATTATATATTTAGTTTTTTTGTACTGTGTTGAAGAAGGCAAAAGCCTAGACATGTACTGTGCTTTTTCTGTCTTCTTCTTTTGTCTGTTTTACTTTTTTTTTTTTTTTTTTTTTACTCCTTAGCTTTCAGGTTAAAAGATGATTGGTATCCGATCTAGGTCACGCTTGGTTGCCCAGTATACTGTGATATTGTGGAGTCTCAGGATATCAATAACTCCTTCTGTCCTCTTTTTCTTGGTCATCCCCTACCACTTGGTATTTCTACTTTCATGTTGTGCACTCTTGTATGGTTTCATTCTCATTCAATGGTTGTTTATCAAAAAATCTTATTATAGGTGTTGTTCCAGTCATTCTTGTAATTTCTTCAATTCTCACATGAGTAAAAGTGTGACTATTTGTGTCTTGGTTAAATTAATTATGAAGCTTTTACAATATATTTTGCGGCGCCCCTGTGAAGAGGTCGTGGCTTCCCAGGCAGCGCGGTTTGGCAATCACTGATCTAAGCTAATTACGTAATTAAAATAATAGTGTTGACTAAAAACTGCTTTGTATAGAGCAGACTGTAGACTGTTTGTTATTTCTTATGTTTTAGCTGTGATTCCATATATGTCATTATCTGTGTTTTTTAAAAAAAGAGAGAGAAAAATAACAATTGCTGCACTGATTTAGTCAATGACATGAATAAACTGATATCACAGAAATACCATACATTTTTAAATGCAATTGACAGTTTCCATAGCAGTTAGTTTGTATTGACCGGGCTTCTGTTGAAAACATACAAAGATGGCAAGGTACTAGATGTTCTGAAGATATTGTAATGCATACATCTGCAAATGAAAAGTTAACACTACTAGAAAGAGAGGATGAAACAGTAGAGTAGAGACTTGATATTCAGCTAATGTTTGTGCTAGTGGCCATAAATGTTACCTGTAACATTATATTATTCTTTGTATATAGAAGTTAACTTTAAATTACTTTCAGCGCATATTATATATGTTACAATTGCTTTGTCCTAATCTCATTAGGGACCTGCTTAAGAATGCTTATGAACAGTTTATTTTTTTTTTAAATACGTAGCATTTTTACTGAAAACAGTTATTGTTCAAGCTAAAGTTTGGTCATTCATTTTGCTTCATATAGTGCATGCATGACTATTGCTGAAATTTGTAGATTAGTAGTCACATTATGTGTTATATCTTGAGGGATTCTATGTATACATATAAGCTCATTTCACTCTTTTGCTTATTGGTTGCTTCAACGGCCCTATAGTTTCTGTGTTTTTCTTTATTAATTACATAGTGAATTATTTTACCACATTACAATGTATAATTTGCCAGTTGATATCAGTCTTCAGTAGAATTTCATGTTGTGAAATGTTATTACAATCAGCTTATCAGTATCTGTCACAGTGTGTAGCAGCTGATGACATGACACCAGTTCTGTAGTGGTTTAGTCTTCTCTGGCTTCCTACATAGTGCTCATGCCTGGCCACACCTATTTTAACTTGCTGTTCTTGCAGTATGATCATGGTTGCAGATTCACCGTCATGACTTGGTTTTCACAGACATAGAGCATGCTGTATAAATAAGCCTGGTTCATGACTAATTCACCCTTCACAGCCTTTCCTGCAAGCCTATCAGTTTGCTCATTTCCTCATACGCCTGCAAACTGTGGCATGGAAATAAAACTGATATGTCAGCTGTGTCCACCTCACAGATATCAACCACTTTCTTCAGATCCAGCCCATCTCTTGTCTTTCTTCAAGTACTCATTGAATCGGGTCAGGTGTAATACTTGGTACTTAGTTTTTAAAACAAATACAGGATAAGAGCCAAAACCTGGCTGTTTACATGTCACCCGCATGTCATTTATTGCTTGACATCTTATTAGGGGTCTACAGGCAAAGCTATTGTCTCATGTTCCACAGATTGTAGTTTTAGACGTTGCCTTGCATTTTGCAAATGCAGGTGTTTCGCAGATCCCTATGGATTGTCGCTAGAGCTGTGGAGTTTTATGCTTTGTTCCATGCTATAAGCTGGCCAACAGCCACTCTGCAGATGTTCACCAACAGTGTGGGATATAACCTGGTGTAGTAAAATCATTGCCCAACCTGTAGAGGAATCTGAAACTCTCAATGAAATGTTAGCTGATTATACATAGAACCCCAGGTTGACCCAGCCTAAAATTGGTATCAGGTAAAGTTCTGGGGATTTCTGTGGCTAACATGATGTTGACCACATGACACATCAAGGGCCAGTTACTCTGTGCAAAAATGAGTCTTGCATCATATGCTGGATGTGCCACTGGTATGAACAGGCACCTTTTTGAAGAAGAATACATAGAAATACATAGAAGACATGTCTTCATATGACAACACATTGTAACATGTCAGGATGTTGTGTGTGCAGGATAACCCACTAGAGAACTTGAACACAGCCTTCGACATTGCAGAAAAGTATCTGGACATTCCCAGGATGCTGGACCCTGAAGGTAAGTCACTTGGGGAGTAAACAGTCTTCTAGATTTGCCATGAAGGACAGTTGACACATTTAGGCCTAGAACATCTGATTTCAGCAAACCCCAAATTGTTCACATTTTATGACATGCTTATTTTTCGGGGGGGGGGGGGGGGGGGGGTGTGTTAAATCTTCCCTTTTCCCCCCCCCCCCTCCCCATGGAGCTCTGGAACCCACACAGGGAGGATACAGTCCTATATCTAGAATCTCCCCATGAAGGTTTTTATAAACAAACATGTCATAAGAGTAAACTGATTAGCGGTTTCTTTCGAAGTTGGAGTACATCTGTCTAAGGGGCAAGAAACCAACAGTGCAAGGGGGAAAAAAATAATCTGTAAAATGAATTTGCATGCAAAACTCAAGTTCTGAAACAAGACTAAAGTTGAGAAGTGGATGGACAACCAGAATGGGTTGTTAAAATAAGGCATCTCTATACTAACCTTTATATAATCTGAAAAACGGAATGCAGCAATTTTTAAAATTGAAAATCTGCCAAACCACAAAATGAACAAAACATGCTGATGGTTCATGTCTGTGATTATCGCAAGCCATGCACGGAACAATACAGATGAACGTATAGATAGATTATTCATTCTTCCGTTTATTGGTGCATCTGTACCATAATTAGTCTGTCTATCAGATAAAATTACAAATTGTTATTTGTTAACAACATCTAGTATTTCACTCTGGACATAGAATTTGTTCCCCTTTCAGTTTCAGTGATTGCAGGTTAAACATGCTATCTGTGTTACTGTGTTTCGTGTCCAGTTCAAGCATTGCTGGATTAGTTGTTTTGATAGTTGTTTCATTGTCCATGAAGAGTTAATCTCTCATTATTTCTTCACCATTGTTGCTGATTAGTGTCCTCATTGTAGATACCTTTCATGGCAGCATGTTAACTCTCTCATTTCTTTGTGCACTGTAATCTTACACATGCCACATTGTTTGTGAAATATATGTTTCTCCGTTCTTTGTTAGCATATATGATAGTTATTATTATGCTAATTATGCATAGTTTATATATTTGTTGAATATTACAATAACAAGACAGCAATGACTTTGTTATACTGTGAAAAATGAGGGTCTGGCAAATGTTGTAGTAGTAAGGAACATTCTGTGTGTTTGAGATTGTGACATAGGAAGAGATGGCGTAGGATTAATTTGAAGGATTGACACAGCAAATGACAGTTTGGGAATTAACCAGAAGCTGAGTAACTGGTAGTTGTGGCCCCACCAATGTTTATGACCACACATGTGGAATTTATTTAACATTATCTGACAGATATCTGTTTATGAATCTACAAGCAAAAAATGGTTCTCACACTGACATTGTTGCCTGTGTGATTGCATTATGTAATGGAGTGTGCATTGCTCACTTTCAGACATGGTGAACTCAGCAAAACCTGACGAGAGGTCTGTCATGGCCTATGTGTCTTCCTACTACCATGCATTCTCAGGTGCCCAGCAGGTATTGTCCTAGTTTTCTTCCCTCATTTGTTCATTTTGCTTTGATTGACACAGATGATATAGTATAGACAACATGCTGCTCTGTCCAGTCACAATATAACATAGTTAAATGTTGCCTGTGTCTGAAGGATATTCTTATCCTGTTCTACAGATGCACAGACAGACACACATAAATTCAGTACTTTACACTTCTTATTACTAACACATAGAAGCAGCTATATAGATGGATGGGACATTATCTGGAGCTGTATTCTGTTGAGACTAAACTAACAGATGGTGCTCTTAATGCTATGAATACACTATCAACTCTTGACTATCTGGACACATTTCCAACAGTTGAGAAGTTAATAATGCTATTGATGAACTGGGTTCGGGGAAAGCCCCAGGCAGAGATGGAATTCCTACTAAGATCACCAGGAGTGGGAAAGGCATTCTAACCCCATACATTCATCGGCTAATATCACCCTGCTGACGTGAGGGACAGATTCCGTAAGACTTCAAATACTCAAGCATCATAAATGTATAAACGTACAAGAACAAAGGTGATTGGAGTGACTACAGTAGTGTCTAGGACTAATGTGGGCTTTGTGGGAACCGGTCGACTACTGATATGATATTTTAATTATGACTGTTGCAGGAAAAATGCCATGAACAAAAATCAACCATTCTATATTGATTTTATTGATCTTACGAAGGCATTTGATTTTTGATGGTTTAACATCGGAGGAGTTTGTAATAAACAATGCAGTGAAGCAGCGATGTGTTCTTGCTCCTGCCCTCTTTGGAATATACTTATCACTTCTTTTGAAATATGCCTTTCGTGATCAGGAGGGCAGTATATTCATCCATTTTTGATCTGACAGCAGCCTTTACAATGCACGTAGGCTGAAGGCTAAGACCAGGATAAGGAAGGTACTTATCAGAGAGCTGCTGTTTGCAGATGATTCAGTAATAACCACCCACTCAGAGGTGGAGCTGCAGTGTTTACTATCTGCATGTGGTGAAGTATGCTGTGAATTTGGACTACCAATCAGCAGAAAGAAGACAAAGGTTAAGGCGAAAGGTGATAATGATAGACCTACAGTCTACATTGATGGTGAAGAGCTGGAGACATTTCACCTGTCTGAGATCCACATTAAATAACAAACTATCGCTAGACTAAGAAATCAACATCAGGATAGGTAAGGCAGCAACAGCAATGAGCAGAGTAACAAAATGAATTTGGGAAAACAGAAAGCTCACGATTAAAACAAAAACTCTTGTTTGTCAGGCTTGTGTTCTCAGCACTCTGCTGTATGCAGTGAAACTTGGTCAACTTATTCGCATCAGAAGAAACAGCAAAATAGCCTTCACATACGATGCCTAAGAAGAATATTTGGCATTAAGTGGCAGGACAAATTCACAAACACTGAGGTATTGGAAAGAGCAGGTACACCAATAGTTTTCTCATTGCTCAGTCTACGAAGGCTCAGGTGGCTGCGTCACACCTGGATAATGAAAGATGGCAGAGTCCCCAAGGACATCCTCTATGATGAATTAAAGATGGGTAGAAGATTTTGATGCAGACCTCTGCTACGATAAAAAAATGTGTACAAGTGAATCTTTCTTTTTTGTACAAAAAATTAATTTAAAAAAAAAAAGCTGTGGGGGTATTTCTGAGGGTAAAAATATCAGTTCTGTTAAGATTAGATATATTCCGCCAAGCCAAGGTTTGTTAAGCTCTTGACCAAATCTCATAATTTGAGCATTTTGCTACAGTTGCTTTAGTATATTCATATTTGTAACACTTTGTTTCATCTTCAGGCTGAGACGGCTGCCAATAGAATCTGTAAAGTCCTGAAGGTGAACCAGGAGAATGAGAGACTTATGGAGGAATATGAAAGACTTGCTAGTGACGTAAGTGTTAATGTCCTTTTTGTGAATTGTTTTAAAGGTATACAGATAAATGCACTTAAAAAAGTTAGTTGCCTATCATTTAAAGGGTGTTACAGAACCAACCCCAGTATGTTGTGACTGTTTTATGGTTTTACTTGGCAATTTCAGTGGACACCATACCATTCTCGAAATCAAGGCAAAGTGGCTCTGCTGCCAAATGACCCGCAGCTGAATCAATTGAGTATTTCCAAATTATAAAGCACTTTAGTAGTACATTTGCAACATACACTGCCACTTATAACAAACAGTTTCATGTTTTATTCAGGTGTATAATCTTAATCCACTGACTACCAAGTCCATTAACCATTGTACTTTCCCAGATACACTTTTTTAAAGTGTCTAATAAAAGGCCATAGCTTCACAACTATTTGATGTAAAAAGATTTTTTTTTTGTGCACCAACTAAATGTAGAACAAATTTCAAGAATAAAAACTGCATAAAACTTGTTTGATGTCATCATCATTTGGGGTGGGTGTACATTGGTGCAAAAAAGGCAGCTAAAAAATGTATTTCTCTGACAGCAGTGTAGACTAACAAAAAAATGCCATAGTAACACACCTATTTAACATAAACTCATAATATTTTGCATTTTTGTACCATATTAAATAGGGAATAAATTTTATGAATGAAAAAAAAAAAAAAAAAAATTGCATAATCTTGTTTTACATCATCATGTAGCTCTACATTGGTGCAAAAAGGTAGCTGAAAAATCATCTGACACCAGTATCAGTATTTTTGTATTGGCTGAAATAATCGTGGATGAGAGCTCTGCCAAACTATGAAATACAATTCTACAAATTCAGTGACTGTTTGCCATTTTGCACCAAACACTTGTGTTACAGTATGACTGTACTGTCACATTATAGAAGCCAAAAAAATTATCTTTTGCCAAAACGTGCGTCAAGGATGGCATTGTGAAACAATTTTCACCAAACTCTAAGCCACAGAACCATAATATACACAGTCTGTACTAACAGAAGAATCAAATAATACACAGCTGTGCATTGATGTAAATTCTTGAATCAGTAATCAGGAATACAATTTAAGATGTACAAAAAACTGGATATGGATTAGTATCAACACTACAGTTAGGCACTAGCTAAAACCAGAATTAGGGCAAAAACTGTTTTTAACTGATTAGTCATACAGCATCTGTGGCTAAGGCATTGTGAACAGGCTTTGCAATTCTGTGGTGTCAAGTTGAATCCTAGCTGAGGATGATTTGGCAGCAGATCACCTTGTGTTAGTTTCAACATTGATATTGAGAGCTGCTGTTCAGAAAGTAGTGACAAACTACTAAACATAAAATTGCCAAGTGAAATCATAACCAGCAAAAATTAGAATAAAAATGCTGGGGTTGGTTCTGCAACGTCACTGACCTTTTATTTTAACATATTGTGTAATGTGGTCAACATTACTTTGGCCACCTTTGCTTCCTACGTCATTTTCTGGTACCAGTTTTAGACTTTGTTGATCTGGAACCCAAGGTTAGCTATGTTTAAAAAAAAACAAAATTTGCCTTGGGGATTTGAACCCAAAACCTTAGAGCTGGTCAACAAGCATTTTATCAATGAAAGTTCAAGATAGCCACAGGAGTACAGTTTTTTCAGATTTTCCACATACACTTTTGTGGTGGTCAAATAAATGTGTATATTTCCCCCAACATGGCTGTTGGTGAAGTAATTACATTTTCTTTGTTTTCTTGTCAGCTTTTGGAATGGATTCGCCGCACCCGGCCCTGGCTGGAGAACCGTACCACTGATAACACGCTGCCTGGAACACAACGAAGGCTGGAGGAATTTCGTGACTACCGTCGCAAACAGAAGCCCCCTAAGCTCGAAGACAAAGCCAAGCTGGAGAACAGTTTCAACACACTCCAGACTCGACTTAGGCTGTCCAACAGGCCGGCCTATCTGCCAACAGAGGGCAAGATGGTTTCTGTGAGTATCATTTGAGTGATATTTACATGTCTGTTTCTGTTCATCTTTTCAACTAAATCTTACTGCTTCAGACAGTAGATAGGTGAACCTTTTTTTTTAGTTAATAACTGTAACTGTCTGTTCTGGGCAGTTCATCTGAGCTCGTTCAACTAATTGACTGTTTTTAACCTGTGAAGATTTAATACCTTTGACTCGAAATAATCATTTTGTGAATGCAGCAAGTTCTACCTAGGTGTACCCTGAAATGGTGGGCAGGTAGGTAATAATTAACTTCTTTCTGTTTCACAGAAATGTTCTTTCTATCTTTTCCAGATACACATATTTTAAAACTCACCCAGCTACTGAGTGCGTGGCCTGACGCTGTGAGCTGTAAACTTTATTTAGTATGCTTTTCGATTGTGCCAAACATCATTTGTGTTGTGAACTGCAGATTCAGAACATGGCGAATAGACTGTTGCCAGAGAACTGGTGGTATCTTGTGCGATTAATTGCATGTGCAACTTCTGATCTTCCATAACCGCTGCTTCCTTCGACGATGAACTGCATTTCTAGTGCTGGACTGTTGGTACTGACACTTCTGACAGCTGCCTTATGCATTTGGCTTTGCTGTGACTGTAGTCTGTGTCAGTTTTCAAAAGGGACAGAGATGGACATTCTGTGTGGTTTTTGTTGGTACAGGATTGAAGCAGTTATAAGGTGACCAGTTTGCTATGAAGTTGGAGCTGTGATTACTTCATTACATGTTTTTAAAAGTGAAAACTCGGGGAGAGCGACAGAGTAAATTATACATGGATGTATAAAGTAACCATTGGTGACAAGGGAGGTTGTATTTATAAATGTAGCTGTGGCGGTAATGTAAACAGTAATCATGACTTGAGAGAAGAGATGTTATTGTAAAAGTAATTATGATGATGTATGGAGTAACATCAACAGTTTTTGGATGGTGTGTTATTTGTAAAAGTATCTGTGGTGAAGTATTTTTATTTTATTTTACTTGATGTTGAGTTCATGCATGTTTTTATTTTTTATGTTTCCATTCTAAAGGATATTGCCAATGCCTGGAAGGGACTGGAAACAGCAGAGAAAGGCTTTGAGGAGTGGTTGCTTTCAGAACTGCAGAGGTAGCTTCTTTATTTGCAGCTTTTGTTCTTTTTTTTAATTCCTGGTTTTTAGTGTCATCTTATTTTGTGAATCCATGGGTACATCTGTAGTATCCATCATTCATGGACTGGCGCAGATAAAATATTATCTGTCAGGAAGAGATGCTGCAGGCATTGCTATCCCCCCCCCCCCCCGTTCAAGTTTTGTGTAAATGTGGAGAAAGTGGGAGTATTCATTCTCCTTTTCTCTACTACTACTTATCATCCTTAGTCTCTTGCTTCTTCTTCTTTTCCTGCCTGTGTGGCTCCTTGCTGTAACTGCAGTCTGTTTTCATCTCAACTTCTCCAGTAAAGATGTTCCAGTTAAAGATTGTTAGCCCCCAAATTGACTCTCTGATTGCTGTATTTGAGTTCAATTGTACAGTGTATCATTGTCTGTTGAAGCTTCGTGAGAACTTTTTCCAATTGTTTTATATTAAGGGTATTATGTTAATTGACCTACACAAATCATGTAGGATAATCATTAAGTTAAAATGTTGGCTACCGAACGTGTCTTCATGTATTGACTCAGTCAAGAAACTGAGATCCAGTATAAAATATGTCTAAGGAACTTGATGCACATGAACTGAATGTGAAAACCAAAGATGTCCACCACAAGTGACGAGGACCATTCTTTCTTTCATTTGTCACTGGACTATGGTTGAGTCTTGTGAGTCTGAAGGTAAGCCCAATATGGGCCGTAATGATCTATGTTAAATGGGTACCAGATACAGTCCTGGAAAGTAAGGGCGGCCGATGTAATTTTGACCACATCACCCGCCCAGTGCCGATCAGTCTATAAAATATAGGTTTAGCCCTATACGCCTAATAAACCTGAAGGCGTGGAAAGCGGTCTAAAAATATTGTGATATCATGTAGTTGTATATATATTTATTATTGTTCTTGTCCAGAAGACCAATCAGTGCTAAGTTAAACATCATATAGTTTTCTATTCTGTTCTTGCCCTGCTAGGAAAAGGAATCAGTGTGAATGTTTGTGTGTGGCTTATAATGCTTGCTGATTGTGTCTGTAGACTGGAACGCCTGGATCATCTGGCCCAGAAGTTCCGCCACAAGTGTGAGATCCACGAGGAGTGGGCTGCTGGAAAGGAAGAGATGCTTAGATCTGGCGACTTCAGGAAATGCAGGTTAAATGAGCTGAAGGTAAAGTTTTCTTTGATACATTAACTCATACTTTTGGTATCAGTAAAATACTCAGAGGTAATCACCAATCCTGGGTAACCTTCAGAAAAATTTGTACGTATGTGATTGCATTTAAGGAGCTGCATTATTTCAGAAGTTAGCACTCTTGCCTGCTGGCCTTGTTGTTATATGTTCAGATTCCATTTGAGGCAGATTTTAAAAATTGAAACTGCTACTAGGTCAACCCAGTGTCTAAAACCGGGTACCAAGAAATATTCAGTATAAATATGCTTGTTGGTCTATATACTTTATGTACCTTAGGATGGTGGGTGGTGAGGGTAGAGCATTTCATCATTCTGTGGATGTAAGTTTGTGAATCTACTTGTTTATTTGTAAACACTTTATCTTTATACATACGCAGTTAGAAGTTTGTCAGTGCTTATCCACGTAAATGATTCTGCAAGTTAGTGACGTTTATATGTACAGGTTAAAATATTTTTTTTTGGGTCTTAGTTCATTATTTAAATATCAAAGTAGACTGTAGATGTACACAACTGCACGTTTGTTCCAAGCTGTGAAATCAAGTTTATTAATGTTTGTGAGCATTTTCATTTTCCCCGGACCTTCTCTCTTTCTACACCAAAAGTTTATATTTCATTTTGGTTACAGATATTGCATTATAAAGAAGTTTATGTCATTTACAGAGTTGAGTGTGAAGTTGCCTTCTGATGATTTCTTATGATCTACTGGTTTCTTTAGCATTCTTTCTGTTGAGTTCTGTAGCATTTGTCTTGTTGTTTTTCTCCAACCTATGGTTTGTAATTCCACTTTAAATAGTTCTGTGCATAGTTTTATCAAGTGAACTGTCATGAAATGAGAGTTGTCAGAAAACCATTCACATATAGATAGTCTAAGTCTTTTTTGTGTATGTTTTTTAAAATTCACTTTAAAAAAAATTAATCTCATAAAATTGATTACATTTGCAAATGTGTGTACAGCGACCTGTGTTTTATTATGTCTTCATCATTTCTTGATGTATTCTTACTTTTGCGAATTGATTTTTGAAAGAAAATAAAATGTGTATGAAATAAAGAAAAACAAAACTCAGGATCAGGCCAAACAGGAAGGCTAATAAGAAGGGAATACTTGAAAATGTACACTTTGTTGAATTTGTTCCTAATGAATATGTGTATTTGTTGGGAGGTGGAACAGTGATACCACAGTTTAGCATCATCATCACAGTGGGAGATAACTGCGTGTGTCTTGACTGTCTCTAGGCTATGAAGAAGAAGCATGAAGCATTTGAGAGTGATCTGGCGGCTCATCAGGATCGGGTCGAACAAATTGCAGCTATTGCCCAGGAACTCAAGTAAGCTTTCTTGTTTGTGAGACTATAAACAAAAATTGGTTTATATGAAGTGTTGCAGACAGAGACAGTTTAATACAGCAAAACCTCACTAACATGAATTCAAAGGGACCGAAATAAAATTGGGAGCTTTTTTTAAAAAAAATGTCTAACCAGATGTTTAAAGTCTTCCTGCTGGAGTCAAAATTTTGTCATTTAAATCTAATATTCTTCTTCAGCGAGTTCGTGTTAATGAGGTTTTTAATGTATTAAAATGGTTGTAGGTTATCTGACTCTTTCTCCTGCAGTCTCCCCAACCCCTTTGTGAAAAATACATTTTAACAAAAAACCTTCAGTGACATATTGTAGCAACATTTATCTGACACTTGTAATAATAAATGAAGAGTATAACAGATACAGGTGGATGATTCTCAATAATATTTTTACTTCTTTAGTTCAAATGAGTGCAACAGTTTCTGTTATCGTCATTTCGCCTTTTTACCAATACTTTATCTTATCATAACTATCATTAATAAATATCTAATATCTTTTCTATATTTTGTTTCCTAGATCTGACATGCAATATAATGCATTTACTCACTTATTTCCTAGATCTGACATGCAATATAATGCATTTACTCACTTATTTCCTAGATCTGACATGCAATATAAAGCATTTACTCACTTATTTCCTAGATCTGACATGCAATATAATGCATTTAATCACTTATTTCCTACATCTGACATGCAATATAATGCATTTACTCACTTATTTCCTACATCTGACATGCAATATAATGCATTTACTCACTTATTTCCTACATCTGACATGCAATATAATGCATTTACTCACTTATTTCCTACATCTGACATGCAATATAAATGCATTTACTCACTTATTTCCTAGATCTGACATGCAATATAATGCATTTACTCACTTATTTCCTAGATCTGACATGCAAATAAAGCATTTACTCACTTATTTCCTAGATCTGACATGCAATTAATGCAAAATTTACTCACTTATTTCCTACATCTGACATGCAATATAATGCATTTACTCACTTATTTCCTACATCTGACATGCAATATAATGCATTTACTCACTTATTTCCTAGATCTGACATGCAATATAATGCATTTACTCACTTATTTCCTAGATCTGACATGCAATATAATGCATTTACTCACTTATTTCCTACATCTGACATGCAATATAATGCATTTACTCACTTATTTCCTAGATCTGACATGCAATATAATGCATTTACTCACTTATTTCCTACATCTGACATGCAATATAAAGCATTTACACACTTATTTCCTAGATCTGACATGCAATATAATGCATTTACTCACTTATTTCCTACATCTGACATGCAATATAATGCATTTACTCACTTATTTCCTACATCTGACATGCAATATAATGCATTTACTCACTTATTTCCTACATCTGACATGCAATATAATGCATTTACTCACTTATTTCCTACATCTGACATGCAATATAATGCATTTACTCACTTATTTCCTACATCTGACATGCAATATAATGCATTTACTCACTTATTTCCTACATCTGACATGCAATATAATGCATTTACTCAACTTATTTCCTACATCTGACATGCAATATAATGCATTTACTCACTTATTTCCTACATCTGACATGCAATATAAAGCATTTACTCACTTATTTCCTAGATCTGACATGCAATATAATGCATTTACTCACTTATTTCCTACATCTGACATGCAATATAATGCATTTACTCACTTATTTCCTAGATCTGACATGCAATATAATGCATTTACTCACTTATTTCCTACATCTGACATGCAATATAATGCATTTACTCACTTATTTCCTACATCTGACATGCAATATAATGCATTTACTCAACTTATTTCCTAGATCTGACATGCAATATAATGCATTTACTCACTTATTTCCTACATCTGACATGCAATATAATGCATTTACGCACTTATTTCCTAGATCTGACATGCAATATAATGCATTTACTCACTTATTTCCTACATCTGACATGCAATATTATGCATTTACTCACTTATTTCCTACATCTGACATGCAATATAATGCATTTACTCACTTATTTCCTAGATCTGACATGCAATATAATGCATTTACTCACTTATTTCCTAGATCTGACATGCAATATAATGCATTTACTCACTTATTTCCTAGATCTGACATGCAATATAATGCATTTACTCACTTATTTCCTACATCTGACATGCAATATAATGCATTTACTCACTTATTTCCTACATCTGACATGCAATATAATGCATTTACTCACTTATTTCCTACATCTGACATGCAATATAATGCATTTACTCACTTATTTCCTAGATCTGACATGCAATATAATGCATTTACTCACTTATTTCCTAGATCTGACATGCAATATAATGCATTTACTCACTTATTTCCTAGATCTGACATGCAATATAATGCATTTACTCACTTATTTCCTAGATCTGACATGCAATATAATGCATTTACTCACTTATTTCCTACATCTGACATGCAATATAATGCATTTACTCAACTTATTTCCTACATCTGACATGCAATATAATGCATTTACTCACTTATTTCCTACATCTGACATGCAATATAATGCATTTACTCACTTATTTCCTACATCTGACATGCAATATTATGCATTTACTCACTTATTTCCTACATCTGACATGCAATATAATGCATTTACTCAACTTATTTCCTACATCTGACATGCAATATAATGCATTTACTCACTTATTTCCTACAGAAGCAAATTATTCTGTGTTCACACCGTTTTCAGTTGTGTTGAGAAAAGTATCCTAGGCTGTAAAGAGTTGATAAATGCAGATAAAAAGAACTAAGGTTTGAGAGAGAGAGAGAGAGAGAGAGTGTGTGTGAGAGAGAGAGAGAGCATTGCAAGACCACGTATGGTCACACACCTCATTTCAGAAATAGATATTAATAACCCTGAAAAAGAGTTGAGGAAGGCTGCAGAAGTCACAACAAGAGATACAGTTTGGAAGGAGGTCATACGAGTAAAAAATTGGCTGAAAGCAAGACTGAATTTCATACAAAGACCACAAATAAAATGCACTGCCCATTTATACAGAATGCCTTATGATGCCTTACTATACCAGGCATATCAGAAAGAGGTGAAGGATATAGAACCTGAGAAGAGAACAGGATGGAAAGATAGGATCAGAGAAACTCTGCTACAGTGTCATATGGTTGGTCAAGATTGTCAGAGCAGGAATCAGATCTCTCTTTATCTCCCTCACCACCTGGCAAAGGTAAAAGATGAAGTGAAGAAGAAAAGAAAAGAAATTTCAAAAATTTAAGTCTAAAACTGAGAGGATAGTCTTCATTGCACTAGATTTTATCACCCATGGCCCAGTCTGTCATCGCAAACCACCTGCCAAGACAGTTGCCTAAAGCATGAACTTCATACCTCCATTGATTATTACTAAGGATCTTTAAACTGTGCACTCATGAACCTAACAACACAGTCCATGGCATGAACCTAACAACACAGTCCATGGCATGAACCTGCAACCTTCAGAGTAAGGCAGATAGCTTGACCACTTCACCAGAGACCACTGAGTAGTTGAAGAAAGAACTTTGATTCAGGTTATAATATCTAGTATGAAGCAATATATATAAAGTACATGCAAGTGTTTGCTCTAATAGGTTACAGAATCATGTTGTGTCAGGTTATTCACTCAAGCTCTACGACTTGAATAATTAGAAAACTGGCATTGATTTGGTTTTGTCCCTGCACGCAAGCAAACACCACTCTGAGCTTGTCTTTGATCTACTCAAGTTAGTTCAAAACCTAGGTGCTGGTTTATCTGCCATCATGCAGGGAACTGGCTGTGACTTGTGAATCCCTTAGGAGTCTCACAGCAGGCAGACTTTGTAACCCTCTGCATCTTTCTGGCAGTAAGGATCATAAATGTAGCCACATTAGACTAGGTCAGGGTCGGCAAACTCTCTAGTCAGAAGAGCCAAAAGTCACCAGCAGGACGATGAAAACTTGTTTGAGAGCAAAATTTCTGTTCAAGAACCTGTGAAGAACCATGTTTTTGTGTCCGACTGACTGACCGAGCCACACTCAGGTAGCTAAAGAGCTGCTATTTGCGGAACATTGGACTAGGTCAGTATCAAGGTGTCCCACACAGAGATGGTCACTCCAAGACCAGACCCTGGCACAACAGTGCTTCTGTATCTTATGCTAGTCTGTAAACACAAACATGTACTTGTAATGAGGTATAATCTACAACATGTTTTACTTATATTTGAAATTGTAGTTTTGCATTTCCTTTATATCGCAGCTCTCTGGACTACCATGATGTTGCCACAGTCAATACAAGATGTCAGGTACTTCACACATTTGTCTAGCTAATATTTAGTCAGTTTTTGTTTCCTTATGTGAACAGAGCTCTGGCATTGCACTCTGAAGCCTGTGTATTAGTGCTTCTTCCTTCTTCATTGTTTGTTATTTACAGTGCCAACCAACAACTCCTGTATTGTTTCTGTTGTTACATATTGCATGTTAATGTCTGTTGTAGAATGTGTAGAGATTTCTCCTCCTTCTTTGTATAACTTTAGATGTGAACTAGCACAAAAATATAGTTCCACTGGCAAATTTATCACTGCTACCTTGCTGAAATTTGCTGTTAGACTGTTTGTTTGTCTGGTGTTGTGTCTTGTGGATAGGTTTTATTAAATAAATCAGACATTTTACTTCCTTTGGTGTTAGCAGATATTAACCTGCAATTATACTTATTATTATTCATCGTTATGTGATAACAGTTTCCACTGTAATTTACTTAGCTCATATAATGTTTTTTCAGATCTTTTCATAATTTGCATATTCTTACTGCCAACTTATTTCCCTGCAATTAATTTATTACTGACTTCATATTCTTCATAACATTGATTGACACTTCCTGTGTATTTAATTGATGCATTTGCAGCAGATATAACACACGCCTTCTCATGTGATCTTCTTCTTCATGTTCACCAGCTGTAAACTCCAGCAAGAAAGTTCTAATTTTTTTGTCTACCTCTTGACTTTGGTCTTGTTCCAGAACCTAAGTGTTGCATGCTCATCTGTTTTACAGGCTAGATTTATTTGAATGCAGATTGTTGTTTCCTTGCCTCTCAGGCAGATGCACTCTGACTTCAAAGGAAGCTCCCAATTAGTTATCTCTTATGATTGTAGGGGAAGCAGTGGGTCTGTTCTTGTTTTCCACACATTGGGGCCCCAGAACCAACATCTGAAGTCGTGTATTCAGTGAGCTTAGAAAGATATATTCACCTGCTGAATCAGCACTACACTCACTCTATGGAGCCAAAGAAGAATTAAAACAATAAAAGTGGTTAAATATCAGAAGATCTGATGTATCCATGTATTCATTACAGATGTCATACTTTATATACTTTTTTTCTACAGCGTATCTGTGACCAGTGGGATGTCCTTGGTCAGTTAACTATCAAACGCAGAGAGGGCCTGGAAGAGGCTGAGAGGATCTTGGAGAGGATTGACCAGCTTCATCTGGAATTTGCCAAGAGAGCAGCTGTGAGTACATTTGTACATTCAACAGGTTTGAAATGTGCCATTTTATCTGAATGTTGCAGATACATTCTTGCAGTAGAATTGTATATCTCTCAGAACCTGTACAGTAAACCATTCTGAGTTGTATCCTGGCCATGTGTAATTTATTCTGTAATCTTATAAATGCAGCTAAACTCTAGTAGAGAAGTGTAGTGACCGCTTGTGTCTGGTACAAAGTGCTGAACATGCATTTAAACAAAATTTATGGTTAGATGTATAGAGGAAAGCAAAGAAAGATTCTTGACAGACATGTGGCATAAAAAGGTATCATCACCTGAATGGCTGCATGCTGTAAGATATTATATAAGAAGCGGAGCCGCGTTAGCACAGTTGGTAGGAGGCTCACTTTCATATCCAGCTGCAACTTGCTGCAGCCCACGGTTGGTGTTTGAAACTGGGTGGCTCCCGGGGTTCACCCAGCCTCAAGGAAATGGGTAGCAGAGTTGATACTCTGGGGTAAATGGAGGAACCTCGCTGTAGCTACAGAGTTACGTGCGAACGGTGACACCGGCGGACAGTTCTTATCAGCTGTCTGTACTTGTGGCAGAGCACTTATGGTTTATAACCGTGTGCAATGACGCTGGTTCACATCTCCCGACTTTACCTTTTTATTATGTAAGAAGCATGATCATCTCTGCCACTCGGCTAGGCTTTGTTGTTGTTGATGATTTGATGTTTACAATCAAGCAGTAGCAACATTTCACAAAATGAAGAATATTCTCTGCAGTTTAAGTCATGTCTGGTGAGATAAAAAGTTTATAATGTTTGAACAATCAGCCGATTAATGAACAGTTTCGTGGAAGCTGCGAAGATGTGGATTTATAGGCAGATTATGAGAATACTGGGGACAGATAAAAAGTGTAATGAAAATGATAAAAAATGTAATGAAAATGTCTTGAAAGAAATGACTCACAAAGAGATGCATCAGAACGAAACAATTTATATTCTTTGTTCACTTAGTGAGAAGGAGAAAACTTATGTTTGTCATGAGGATGTGAATGTTGGAAGGGGGGGGGGGGGGGGGGGGGGGAGAGAAGCAGGGGCAGACTAAGAGAGAAGATGTTGGACAGTGTTATAACATATCGTAGCAGAACATCTTGTGTTAGAAATTATTTAAAGTACACAAGACAGAAGGCCAGGAAAGGACACGACTGCCAGTGCCAAATGGCATGGACTAAAGGTTGTCTGGCCTGGAACAACATATATTTGTTTGAAGGTTTCACATAGTATACTTTCAGGTTTCACATAGTATACTTTCACAATACACAATAAATATTTGTCTTCATTTATGCACAAACATTGTTTGCTTTCAGCCATTCAATAACTGGATGGATGGTGCCAAGGAAGATCTGCGAGACATGTTCATCGTTCACTCCACTGAGGAAGTTCAAGTAAGTTCATTAACAAGCTCTTGAGAATATCTTTTTACTTTAAGGGATCTCTGTGGTGAAGTGAGTATGCCATTTACCTCGCATTCTGAATGTTGCAGGTTCAGTTCCGGGCTCAGTTGTGTGGTTCTCAAGTTTTTTAGGAATTGCATGTAGTCATCGCTAGAGCTACAGAGTTTGTGCTTTGTGCAATGCTTTCTCTTCTGAGAGGCTGAACCACAGCCATATAGATTCAAGCCCCGAACTGTCAAGTCATTGAATCCTCCTGATCTTTATATGTAAGTCTCATATGTGGGCGTCGAGGGTAAATGAAAACACCAAACACACAGAATCAATATGGATAGTTTTTTGAAAGTTGCACCAGCTACATTTATTATGGTGGTGTGACATGTTAAGCATAATGTAATTCTTCACACTGCACAAACATATATGTAACGTGATAACTGCTTAAATAGGAGCCAATTCACTTGGTGCCTGGGAATTGCTGTTGCTATGAAGTGAAATGAATACACAAAAACACAAAACTTTAAAAAAATTTTATTTTAATCAAGTTGACATTACAAGCAGGCAAAATAGAAGTACAGTGTCAGTGTTACAGATACAGGGTTGTTTCCTGCAAACTATGACAACTAGGTGACAGTAGTTTAGATCTAGTGTAGCAAAAATTGCTAGTAGGTCAAATAGATTTTTAGCTTTTCGGTCTGTGCATGCATTGATACCAAAACGCACACACACACTCCTCCCCCCTCGCCCCCCTCCTACTCTCTCTCTCTCTCTCCTCTCTCTCTCTATCTCTCTCTCTCTCTCTCTCTCTCTCTCTCTCTCTCTCTCTCTCTCTCTCTCTCTCTCTCTCTCTCCTCTCTCTCTCAGCCAGACCAGACAGATATATATATATATATATATATAAATATACTATATATATATATATATATATATATATATATATATACTATATATATATATATATATATATATATATATATATATATAATTGGATTTATTTATGTCACTGCACATACTAGTAAGCGCTGGATCTCTGCTGTCTGCACAGAACGAGATGAACTATCAGAAATGATGTGTTGTGTTAAAGATTCCGTTTTCCAAAGTATGTGCATAAAAACTCGACATGGACATACATTTGACTGGACTACAGGATGATTAAATCACAACTGACCATGTTCACTTGCTAAACTCTTGTACACAAAATACCTGATTGCAATATTCATGGGATTAACAAAACTCACAATCAGGATCATTAATCCTGTCACCCTAGTAAAAACAATTGTTCATGATCATGTGGGAATTCTTGAAAAAATCCTGTAAAAACTATTTTTTGTGTGTGAGTACCACACAGGTCAGTTATCAATTTGTAAAGATTTTAATTTTGAATCCTCATTGAGATGGATTTGTATCATTGACCAAGCGGTCCCAGGTCTACCTGACAGAAACATTTTTTTGGCAGTAAATTAAGCTGGTACAAGATAAGGTAAAATATTTATGATGTGAGACTGTAACAGCTAGGTCTACAAATCTATAAAGGGTAAGATAAAGATAATTGGAATTAACCAAACCAATAGTAGTCGGTTTTCTCTTATTGGTATCCAATTCCAAGAACTAGTTATATGCCTATTTGTGCAATAATATATATATATATATATATATATATATATATATATATATATATATATATATATATATATATATATATATATATATATATATATATATATATATATATATATATATATATATATATATTAAGATGGAAGAACTGAAATATCACTGAAAGTGATATTAAATACAAAACAAAAGGCATGGGGCGCTTGTTTAGCACCAGGAAATTTGGTGAGGTCAGTAGAATTTTTATGCACAATTTATGTAAAGTCAAATCAGTACTGTTATATGGAGCGGAAACATGAAGAGCAACTCAAACAGTGACTGTGAAAATGCTGAGAAAACCTGAGAACAACATAACTAGTAGAAACAAAGGCAGACCAAACAGCACATGGAGAAGGAAGCTAGAGAGTGGAGTTAGCAAAAATGGGGAAGACATGGGATGAGCTGCATGTAATAGTCAAGGATAGAACAAGTTGGTTGAGGGCTTGTGCTCCATTGGGAGATAGAAGGCAGAATAAGGAAAGCAATATCTCTGGCGTGATGTTGATGACCTCACCCATTAAATGCTGGTCCGTCATAACAAATATATTGGTCTGACATCAAATACACTATCTGCAATGATGTGGAAAGGGCCTGTTTTGTTTTGATGTTTGCAGTTATTCTGACAAAACAAATATTGGTGCTTCTTGTAGGGATTGGCAGATGCCCATGAGCAGTTCAAAGCCACCCTTGGGGAGGCGGATAAGGAGTATGCTACCATAATTGGGCTGGTACAGGAGGTTCAGAGGCTGGGACAGCAGTTTGGAATCACACCACCGGATAATCCATACTCTACTCTTCATGCCCAGGTGAGTTCTGCCACCAGTTTGTACACAGATGTTTTTTTTTTTTTTTTGGTATTATTTATTTCCTGGGGTATTCTGTGTTATTAAAGGGATGCCTATGGTAAATGATCTTAGCTGTTTTATTTAAAAGCCTCTAATGCAGCAGATAATGGAATACTTGACTTCCCCCAAGTTGAGTAATAGGTTGTCAGTTTTTATTGCAGTTTCTGCTGTGTTTTGTTGGTGGTTAGATTACATTTTTGAGAAAATTAGTCGGCATAACTAGCATGAAAGTATAACATTGAACAAAATTAACCAAAATAACTAGCATGATGGTAAAACATTGGGAAAAATAAGTCAACTAGCATGCAGATAAAGCTTTACAAAATATCAACTTGAATATTGAACCCAGCATGAAGATGAGATTTTGGGAAAATGAACCAGTTAGCATAAAGAGGAAACATTGAACAAATTTAACACAACTTAACTAGCATGAAGATGCAACACTAAAAAAAAATTAACCAACTTAACTAGCATGAAAATAAACATTGAAAAAATAAATCAGCTTATTTAGCATGAAAATAAAACAAAATAAATGCATTTTTAAAATTACTTTCAGGTATTGAATTCTTGAATTCTATTTTCTTAAAGTGTTCGATGCCCTTAGTGTATTTTAGTGTATGATACAAACACGAACTTCATTCTGGTATTGAGCAAGTATCAAACACTTTGTGTTTTGTTGATCTAATGACATGTCTGATCTATAGATAACTTTTTGGTAGACCCGCTGTTCATTACAGCCGTGTCATAGTCTGAGTGAATAATTTCATTAAGAACAAATCCTGTAACATTGATAGTTATTATAGAACATCGAAAACCTATTGTTAAAGGTGTGTGAAATGATATGGTGAAACTTGTTAGTAGTAGTTGGAGCTTAGTAAGGTGTAGGTAAACTGATACGTGTTTCTGTATGTTTGAGTGTAGGTCACAGGCTAGTAGTTCCATCTAAATGGCAGTGTAGGTGCTAGGCTAGCAATTCTGTGTGAGAGAAAAGTGTAGGTGCTAGGCTGGCAATTCTGTGTGAGAGGAAAGTTTAGGTCCCAGGCTAGTAGTTCCATCTGGAGGGAAGTGTAGGTGCTAGACTGGCACTTCTGTGTGAGAGGAAAGTGTAGATGCTAGGCTGGCAATTCTATGTGAGAGGGAAGTGTAGGTGCTAGGCTGGCAATTCTGTGTGAGAGGGAAGTGTAGGTGCTAGGCTGGCAATTCTGTGTGAGAGGGAAGTGTAGGTGCTCAGCTGGCAGTTATGTGTGAGGAAAGTGTAGGCACGCTGAAATCTATGGAGTATGCTGCTGGATGTTAGATGGGGCTTCTGTATAGAATGGGGGTGGGTGTGAGCCATCAGCAATTTTATGGAAATACATATATTATGTGGTTATATTATGAGTTAGGATGTCTTTGGCAGCCATGTAAGATTAAGGGTGGACATGTTGATATAAGTCCTGTGCAGATAGAATGCATTGACAAGTCTATATGAAGTAGCTGTTCTATATGGGGTGAGTAGGTGGGAAAGACTGAAACCTACAGCAAACGTGACATGTCTTTGACTTTGCTCACACATTCAGGACTCTGCTAACATTGCTCAGGAAGCTTCTGCTATGCTTAAATGGTGCTAGTTTAGTCGGCTGGCAAAATGCTTGAAGCTGTGTAGGGACATTGAAATGCTGTCATATCTGCTGGTGGGCAGTTGTGTTGACAATTTCTTTATTTGAATATTTTCAAAATGAGCCTTCTCAATTGCCAGCAGTAGAATATGTTAGTGTCCATTTGTTAAACTCATGACACCATCATATAGTTTGAGAGGAATGACCTTGTGTTGAGCTGTCTGGCTTGTGGTCCTGTGCGTCTGATTTTCAGATGTTTACCTTCTCATGCAACATTTTGAGTTTCAGTCAGATCACTTTTCCTTCTTGCCTGTATTGCTGTGGGATTTGTTTTTTAATGTAGCAAGTTTTAATTTTCTTGTCTCTATTTTAACATAAATATGTATAAGAATGTAGATTTAACCATGTTTGTTTGTTTTCTGCATTTGAATTGCTTTTCTCACACTGTTTATTTTGCATTTATATGGTGTGTTGCATTGGACGTGGGCGTAGGAGGTTAGTATTTATCAGTAAGTGTGATTAATTTCAGCTTGCTGATCTCTGGTGATCTCTTCTTCTCTTCTGATTGTTGGCCTTTTTTTTTTTGCTGCTGTAACCTGAAAACATAACTTGCTATTTACATTGGTACTTAGTTATTCTTGCTACTCACAGCTAATTGATGTCATTTTATCATACACACGGTATTCCCAAAAGTCATACAACAGACGAAACATGCAGTGTTGTAAATATTAATGATTATCAGGAATATTTATCTCTGATAGTAGATGCTGCTTTCAAAGCACTCTGTTGTGTTAGAGGTATGATTTTTGCAGTTCTTTAACAGGTATCATCTGTTACTTTAAGTAGTTAATATAATATTGTACAAATATACAGTGACCGTTTTATGACTTTTGGGCACCATTAATTGTTTTTCTACAATTTTAAATTGCCACCATGTCTATTTGTCATGTAGGGGTGAACATATTTGCTCTATATCTGTGGTAACTGTACTATAAATACACGTGTAAGCAGAATCTAAAACATACTGAGTCAAAAAGAAACATAAACTGTGTTTGAGTTTTGGCTAAAGCTGGAAAAATTTATTCAATGTTGTTATTTTTTTTTTTTTTATGATTTGATTTGATTCAAGAACCGACATCACAGCACCCGGGGCATTCCCATAAGCGCTCTGTCTCCATCTTCAGCAGCTAGCGAAGAGTTCTGATACTAATGGTGCCAGTAGCTTTCTGATTAAATGTCTGTCTTGCCTTTCCTCTGAGCCTTGAGCTTCTGCCAGAACTTCTCATCACCCCCAACTGCATCAATCTCGCCAAACTGTGGTGATCCATCTGCTCCTCCGCATTGTACACGCTCTCCCACAAGGCACTAACCACGTCTGCTCTATCATGTAGCAGTATTCCACCAAGTTGTGCAGAGCCAGCCAGTCTGTCCACCTGTTCATTTCCCAACACACCGGCGTAACCCGGTGAAAAAATCCAGACAATACTCCTCACTTGTGTCCTCCGCAGCAAAGCATGCCACTCTGCACGAAGCATCCCTGTTCTGATCTTCCTCAGCATGCTTTCTGAATCAGTTACAATTACAATGTGTGTGTGTGTCGTGTTCCCTAGCCAGCGGAAAGCTGCAGTGACTGCCTCCACCTCCATTCTTAAGCTGGATGTTATGATATCATATGCTAGGCTCTCCTGCACCAAACGTTGACCATTAACTTTTGCTAAAAAGCCCCAAGCACTTCTTTTGCCTCTTGACACTGAACCGTCTGTGTAAATGATTTTTTTTAAAAAATAAAATTACATGGTACTGTTTTTGTTTTGGTGTGTACATATGTGTCTTTTAAAAGTAAATCTAACATTAACATTTAACATTTACTAACCCATTTATATTGTAAGTTTTAAATGTTGTGTGCCAACACCCTATATAGTTAAGTTTGCTTTGACGAAGATAGCTCTTCTATAGACATTTTCTTCTCTTCTGTTCTTTCATACGTTCTTTCATATGTGCTGTTGATAAGTATTGTTTGTTCTTCTGGCCCTCAGTCTTCCATACTGACTTGACCTTTCTGTGATGATGCAACAAATTTGTATGTAAAAGTTTGTTAGTAGACACACACCTGCACTCAACACACCACACACACACCATCACTCAACACCACACACATACATACACCATCACTCATCACACCACACACACACACCATCACTCAACACACCACACACTATCAATCAACACACCACACACACACACCATCACTTAGCTCACCACACACACACCACACACACCATCTCTCAACACACACACCATAACTCAACACACCACACACACACCATCACTCAACACACACACCATCCAACACACACCATCACTCAACACACCATCACTCAACACACCACCATCACTGAACACACCACACACACACCATCACTTAACACACCACACACCATCACTCAACACACCACCACAACACACCACACACATACACCATCACTCTACACACCACACACACACCATCACTCAAGACACCACACACACCCACTATCACTCAACACACCACACACACTGTATGTCAGTACTTTTTTCTGTTTAATTCACAACACTGCCAGTGCATATTTGATCAGATTCATTCTAATGTATGCAAGCCAGCATTATAATTGCCACATTCTTCTTTTGCTTCTTCTTCCTCTTCCACTTTCAGAGGTCATTCTGAATATGTTTAAAGAAAGCAGTAGTAATTGTAAGCTTGTTGACATTTCCATAGTCTGTCCTCAGAAGGTGCAGGCAAAGACTAACATTAACATGCCATTACATTTTAACTTTCACAAGCAATTCTTGTTTTTAAAGAATGTGAGGGCCTATAACTGGCTTGAAAACATATCGGTTCTAAATGTAATGCTAGTTAGAAGACATTTCTTGTTTTCTGACTGCATCAGTGAAACAGCACCAGAGCTGTATTGTTCAGAGAATTGACACCCATGTCACTGCTTGAAATGAACCCCTTGTGCAAGCAAGCACACAGACCACTACAAGCACACATACCACTACATGTACACTAACCACTACATGCACACTAACCACTACAAGCACACTAACCACTACATGCACACTAACCACTACACGCACACTAACCACTACAAGCACACTAACCACTACATGCACACTAACCACTACATGCACACTAACCACTACATGCACACTAACCACTACATGCACACTAACCACTTCAGTACTGCTCACGGGTACATGCGCACGTATACACAGATTCATTCACTTTCTCTCATTCTCACTCACTGCACCCCTCTCCCCTCCCCCCTGTAGTCGGCACACACGCCAGTTTGGGCACACAAGTCATAATCAGTGACCACTTCA